TTAACCCCTTATTAGTGGTCTATTCGCTCGGGCACATTGTAGGAATCATCACATCCGATACCTCTTAATAGCATAACAGAAAACATTTTACTTGACTCATCTATTTACAGTAAAATGACTTGATTATAACTGACTTGTCACGTACTCGGCGTTATTAAAAATCACAAAACTGCTGGTACTGTTTCAGTTACGAGATGGACACACCCAATGAAAACGTCGTGCAAGGCGACTAATCATTGGCGTGGGTTACACCACAACCATCCTTTGACAAGTTTTATGAAGCAAGGTGGTGGTACGCATAGCCACTTCACGTCGAAGGCGGGACACTACTACCTCCTTTTCGTAAAGTGAGGCAGCGGTTTTTACTTGGTACTACGCCGGCGTGTTCGTATTCTATTCCGCTCCTCTCGGAACCCCGTTCATCCAAGTAAAAGGCGTCGAGTTTGCTTCCTTTTACGCTCACTTCCTTTGAGAGAAATCACCATATCCTACTTGAAAAAATATTCACACATTCTAATTAACGCTCAATCAATCAAATAAGCCGCGTGGCTCTCTAGCGAGAGCGCATGTATGTAAAAGGGCCGGCCCTTTTTCTCTACGACGTTTCACGGAGAGCCAAAAATCAGCAGTGCGCCTATTTGAAGTACCTAAATGCCTGCTCAAAGCATGGACAACCAGGTAATTTCGGATAGAAGCACCGTTCGAGCCTCTAGCGTCCGAGCACGACGAGATATAGCAGATGCAATGCGAGTACTTCGAACAATAAAACAAATTAAAGACGGCACGTACAAGACTAGAAAAGGCGGAATATATGGGAACTGTTTGATTCGTCGAACTCTTCGTCCTGCGGGCTATAAGCTCCTACGGGAAGTCGAGTTGCAAAAGGCAGAAAACCTAGAGCTCCTCAAGTATGTCAATGGAGAGAGATTTCGGTAAGCCTTAATAAGAAATCATGTCCTGCACCAACTTATAGCGTACTAGTTTCGATTACAAGTGTCGCCCTTGCAAAGGCGATAAACAGTTTGTAATTCATATGCCTTCAGTGTTTCACGAGGCAATAGCTGGAAAGTTAAATACTATGATTGTCAGATGGCTTGGCAAAATAGAAGACGGAGTACTTTGCAATGTTGAGAGCTCCAAAAGCGAGACCATGAAATTTGCGAGTGAGATCAGCTCCACTCTCGCCACGACGGTGAATTGTAATGAGCCTCGCGACGACCGACTCGAACCCGATCTTTCTTTTACTTACAAAGGCTGTGGGACTGCTGATTTGGTAGTCGAGATAGCATGGTCGCAGCGCGATTTAAACTTGCCAGACAGAGCTAGGCGATATGTTACAGGTATGGGGGGCGAGATCCAAACGGTTATTGGGTTCAACATGAATGACATCTACCATGGTGGGTGCGGCGCCACATTTTCGATATGGAAAGCTGAACAGGACGGCGACAAGTGGAGGTCCAATACCGTGGTTGATAACCAGGTACGACATCAATCTGCTGATGCCTTAATCTTCCATAGTGCTTCTAACTCTCCCCTAGAAATTCATCGATGAAAACGGCGACGTCATTAACGACTGCAATTTATCTCTCTCGCTAAAGCACTTTATCTGCGCAAAGAAGACAAATAAGTTCGGGGGTGTTGAGGACGTACCGCTTGAGATGCCATCAACGAAGCTCTACGAATTTTATAAGTATGCAGTTACACAGCAGATGATGGCCGACGCAACTAAAGGGATTAAGGAAGTATAGAAGAGAATAGATACGCCCTAGAAAATATCCTTAGTATTGAGAAGACCATACAGGAGCAGAGAGCTGAGGATCCCCGCAAATGCACTGTTATCGGAAAGGAAGCATTAGCTCACGTAAGAGCTATGATGTCAGAGGCAAAAGACAAGATTTATGAAACTACTAGTACGATGGAGGGCGCAAACGAAAAAGGTCGGCTATAGGATCGAATAGAGGATAGGGGTAGAGGAGGATATAGCTCAGGCAGAGTATAAAATAGGAAATTAACTAAAGTGAGAATCTGGTGAGAAAGAACAGATAAGACAGACAGAAATTTTGGAGATCCGTGTATTAGCAACTTGTCGTTAGCGGCACATTAATTTTAGTTGTATCTAAGTCCTAAGTGCAAATGAGATGACTATGCTATCTCTTTGTGAGCACGTCTCATATTCCCTGGTAAGATAGAGCCATGTGACGAGAACTACTGCTGTAATACCTTCCAGTACTACATCTAGCGAACTTAAAACGTATCGGGCCTCCGAGTTGTAGTGCAACAGTAATTACTCATGGCATCACACCTATTGTCCCTTGGGTCACATGTTAACAGCAACGTGTTTAGGGTAGGCAAATTAGCAACACGAAGTAGTATAGAGAGCTACGGAGTACCTGCCAGTATTGCTATATATAAACTATATATGCTCAGATTACGGTTATTATTGGCAAGCCGCCTAACCTATGGACACAAGGTGAGTGAGCCTATATAGAAGCACCTCCTATACTTACAACGGGCGAGGAAGGTATTATGGACGTTCTGTGAGTTCAGTAAACTGAGGTAGGACTAAGCCAGTGTTGCGTTCGCTAAAAGAGCCCTCTCTATTGTTCGTAGGTCTCATGAGTTACGCAGTAGGCTGTAAAAAAACAAATGTGAATAGAACGAGGTACCTGTTTTACACTAAAATAATAACAGTCAGTAATTCTGCTGCTCTAAACCTGTGTTCAATGACATGAAATAGAACGGTGGCACTATACCAATACACTACCAAAAGTATAGTTTTGTCAACTCCGCCACTTGGTTGCGCTCTGGGTAGACGGTCGCTACTAAGAGGATGGGAAATACCAAGAGATCCATGGTACCACCTACTTCTCTTCATTAGTTTAGTTTCACCCTACTGCTGTTGATCCATCATGACTCATGCGTATTAATGGCTAACCTAGCTTACTTAATGATAGTTATTGATTATGGCCCGTACGAATGTAATAGTAAACAACTAACCCAGAAGTCGGGTCAATTTTCGCAGTTAACCACGTTGAAACAGATATCTCCAGGAGCTAGTAGTCACGCTTAAACTTGTGATATCAAAGTGATAGAATTTAATTAGTAGGGGTGGCACTTTGAACACAAGCGCTTACAAGTTTACACAACAAACCGTTGTATAATAGTATCATGATTAAGTGTACAGCCAATAAACGTACGATATAGCATCGAAGAACCATGCTGAGTGCCACTAACTTCGTAAAGAACAATAAACCTTACCAATCTAGCGAAGAAAATAGTTCCTTATGAATCCGTAATTGTATTACCTAGCACTGGCATGGTTATGTAGGTTTATAAATAGGTAGGTTCCCTCAACCGAATAAAGAAGGATTAATAAGAATGATATCTTTCTTATGCTGCGGCAGTGCATATCAAGTCAACAGCTTCTATAGCCTCCTTCTCACCTATATCATAATCGACCGCCATCCAGGCAAGCCAAAAGACGACAATACAAATTATTTACTAGAAGATTCAAGAACGTGAATCTTGATTGAATATGCCGATCGACATTACAATCGCGAGCGATAATACCTACAAATACGAGTCATTCCCTATTGCTGTCACAGTTAATAACACCACCGAGACGTCTAGACTCTTTGGACCCCTTGATGAGGTTTGGCTCTATGCCATCGACAGCATGGGATCCACGATCAGAAATAGCTTCAGAGCGAGAAGATGGCACCCAGAAGTGGGAATACACACATATCATTGGCGGGATTGTTGGTTTAGAAACGAGAGAGTTGGCCAGAAATACCGGTTCGTCGCTGCTCTGGTCTATGGAAACAACACGGTTTATGAGGTAGAGACCACCGATATCGAGCTGAGGGGATAACTTCTTCTCGATGAGTAAAATGGGAGCTTAGTACTTGGTTGGCTTTTGTGAGTGTATGACTGTGACGTTTTTTTAGCTTCCTACACTACTCCTCACTAACAGAACCTCCTAGGCTGTGCCGAGACCTAATAGACATACATGACCAAGTCAGTTACTTGTAAATGCCTTTTGGTTGTGGATATTTCGATAGTTTTCCATCAGTCAATCTTACTCATTACCCTCATCTCGTCATTCCCTATGGCTGCTATTTAAGTCTTATGATCCCTAAGTGCCCGCCCCAATACCGTGCATCACAGGGATGCTTTAGCTGTGCATATGCATCTCTTATTTAGAGTAGAAGACCAAAGAGTGACTATTTTCAAGTTAATATAGAAATATAGAGCCATATGAGAAGATATCTTCAAAGGGTTAATATGGGTTTCATCTGTCCAAGATGTTGATAGCCCGAAAAGCCAGAGGATATGATATTTAAAACACTGAGCAAGTATTTTTATCATTATATTGAGATTGTGAGACGACTTGATGTCCACACAAAGAGTCATGGAGCTACCTAGGTACTTATGGAACTTGCATATTTTCTATTGGCTACTGCACAGGCTGTTGCACTAAACAAGAATCTGATGCCGATAGAGATTGGAAATACCTAGCGCTTGTGGAAAGCAAGGACTAGGAGCTGGTTACACGATACCGAGGGCCACAGAACACGGCTAAAAGAAAGTTATCGCTACCTATGGAAATGACTAGAACTAGCGTCACTTGAAACCTTGCATACATATGTTTCCCCGGGACGTTGATGAGGCAGTATCTATCGCGGGCATTAGAGGCTCTTTGAAGTAGTGAGAAGCTCAATATGGTAGGGTATTGGCTAAATGGAGATTGACGGTTATGCTAGAAGAGATATACAGAGGTGTAACAAAACTCTCCTAAAGACGACAATTGATTATAAACCGATTGTGCCTTGCATGCATGCCTTGAACATGTGATGATAGTCATGATCATGTTTATGATTATAGATGGCTTCTCGAATTGATAGCGGCCGATAACCCCACCAAATCATCGATGAGGGGTGTGTGTAGTAAGGAAAAAAAAAAAAAAAAGATTGTCTGAAGAGTTTTTGAGACATGGGGATTGAACCCGACCCGATTTGAACGGATGACCTTCTGGAGGCAGTTGTAATTTACAATTGTAAATTGTACAGCTGGAATCAGATGCTCTACCGCTGAGCTACGGGTCCTGCTGATGGAGTTTTCCCATCGTAAATGCCTACTCTTAGCCTTCGGGATACGTAGCTTGATGGGGAAAGCGGAGATTGCATCCTGTTGAGGCGATAGTTGGATTTTAGTTCAGGCTAAGGATTTTAGGTACTTAGCATGGAAGGGAGTATAGAGCAATTAGGGGAATATTCCCGAGTGGGGGTATGCATCTATAGCGATATGTTATCGCTCCTTATCGGAGCCGAGTAGCTCCTAAGCTTCAACTACATCATCAACAATCAACATTTCTACAACATGATCATTAATCTACCAACCCCTTCCTGCTGAGACCACTTTTGCTGATTTTGAACCCTCATATCTTTACCGGCCGAGCTTCCTTACATACACTCCAAAAAATTACACCAACGAGAAACGCATTAACACATCCATCGCTTTCCTCCCACCCTCTCTCAGCTACGATGCCCTCCGATCTCTCTAGTTATCTCGCCACCCACTACCTAACAGCCGACCCAAAGCCCTCGAAGAAGCGAAAGCGCAAACAAGCCCCCGGAACTGGAGGCCTCATAATAGCCGATGACGACGAGACAGGCTGGTCGCGCTCCCGGGGCGACGACGACGACGACGAGACAGCGCCCAACGCCACAGTAGCCGGCACGAGCGCCGAGTTCCGCAAGGCGAAGAAGTCCGGCTGGAAAGCCCTCGGCGGCGCCTCCTCCTCCTCCACAACAACAACACCACCCACACAGCCACCCGCACAAGACGAAGCAACCCGCCAAGCAGACGCGATCCTCGCCTCCGCAGCCGCCGAAAGCGCCGCCGCCGCCGCAGACGACGACCCCGACGCAGCACCCGTAATGATGTCCGACGGGACCTACGCCGGCCTGCAGAGCGGCGCCACCGTGTCCGCCCAGCTCGCCCGCCGCCGCGCCGCCGAGCGCGCCGAGTACGAGCGCAGCGGCGCAGCCGGCGGGAAGCCGCACAAGGAGGCCGAGACCATCTACCGCGACGCGACGGGGCGGCGCGTAGACGTGAGCATGAAGCGAGCCGAACTCCGCCGCGAGGCTGACGAGGCCGCCCGCAAGCGCGAGGACGCCGAGCTCGCGCTGCGCGGCGACGTCCAGGTCGCCGACGCGCGGCGGCGGCGCGCCGCCCTCGACGACGCCAAGGTCATGGCCGTCGCGCGCCACGCCGACGACGCCGACATGAACGCCGACATGAGGGCCCAGGTGCGCTGGGGCGACACCATGGCCGCCTTTGTGAAGCCCAAGGACGACGGTGGCGGCGGGAGTGGGAGGAGGGTCGTCAAGGGGCGGCCGGTCTACCAGGGCGCGTGGGCGCCGAACCGCTACCAGATCCCGCCGGGCTATCGGTGGGACGGCGTGGTTCGGGGCAATGGGTTCGAGGCTGAGAGGTTCAAGGCTCTTAATCGACGGGAGAGGAACAAGAACTTGGACTATTCATGGCAGATGGACGAGTAGATGCACAGCTGGCGTTGAGATGGTTTACACATGGCACAGTTAAATATACCCTTTTCATAACTACCACAGTGTTCATGTTGAAATTTTCCCTTCTACTGCTTTGGTACGGTTTTGTGATTATGACGGTGTATTATTTATGGTCTCTATGGGATGACATAGAAGTAAGCTATGCTATTCCGTGGCTTCCGCCGATGAGACTGAGCTATTTCGCAGTTTTAGGATATTTAAAATCCTGCCGCACATAAACATTCGCCTGCGAGCATGCCCTGTAACTACCATCTGTATGAGTTACGGTGACCAAAACATCTAATCCAGTACGGCCCTTGCGCAAGTAAACTGACAGTCGGCTATTTCGCCCATCCTCTCAAATGTTTAAGAATACGAGGCAAGGGCTCCCCGCCAAGTTCCGGGGCTGGCCAGACATTTGAACGAAGAGAACGAGACGCATCATACTTAACCATTCTTTAGAGGGGGCCTGGAGCAGGCTCTTAAGCTTTGCGGCGCAGTAATTTATCGCTCTGAGTGAACACGGCGCTCTCCTTTACGAGCTGGAGCCATTCTTTTCTAGTGAGATGTCCTGGCTTATCAACACGATCATCAAACATCTTGAGGAGTCCTCCAATGGTCATGCCGTTGGGGAGAGGTGGCAACGTGTCAAGAATCTCCTGGGCAGTGATAGGTTTCAGGACTTCCTGGGTCGCCCCGGCGTTGGGAGAAGCTGCCCGGGGACTTCCAGCCCGGGATCCTGTAGGTGTGCCCTTGGCACCGGTGCCCAAGTGTGGACGTCGCTTAACCTTGCCTCCTGCTCCGTCCGACATTTCGCCGGCTGTCGCCTCTCCATCACTAGTGGATCCAGCACCTCGCATAGATTGACCACCGGGTAGAGGGGTGGCACTACGGCTTCCAGTAACTGAATTGGTAGGACCCAGTTTCTTCTTCTTTTTGTTCCGAGTGGACTCGGCGCCGCTCGAGTCCGAGCCCAACGGGGAACCAGGCCGTTTGAGAGATTTGCCTTTCTTGGCACCATCGGCGGCAGTTTTCTTGCCCTGGGGTGTGCCCGGTCCCTTGGAGGACGAACCGACACCGTTTTTCTCCTTGTCTGCCTTGTTTTCCTCGTCCTCCTTCTCCGAATCGGAGCCTGACTCACTCTGATTATGCTGAAATTAGTGGCAGGTGACCATAGGGGCGAGAGGTTGACTTACCGATGATGAGGCAAAAGGATCTTGGTTGGAGGAGTCACTATCGTACTGGAACTGCTTGTCACGCTTCTTTAAGGCCTTCTTCAAGTTTTTACCAAATAGCTTTCTAACCTCCTCTTCTTTTTGAAGTTCAGCCTCCTCTTTCTCAACTTCCTTCTCGTCTGCATCGCCAAACAGATTGGCACCAAGCTGCTCGCGACGGACCCTGTCCTTGGAATCTTTAGACTCCTCGTCCCTCTCGGGCTCGAAGCCGGCAGTTTCGTCGTCGTCTTGGAATTCGTCGCCGGACACATCGATATCATCATGCTCCATCTTCTCCCGCCGTGAAGCCTGTTGGAAAGTAGAGCTTTCTTGCTTGACTGCTGTCGGTCCGTACATGATTCTTCGGGATTCTTCTCGGGCACTGGCAGCTTTATTTCGATCGGAGTCTCTTATAGCCCAACGTGTAGGAGCTGCCTTCTTGCCCATAAGCTTCTCGGCTTCTTCGATCGTCATATGTTGGAAGGCCCCTCGCTTTGGTGTAAACTTATACCATTTCTCCAAAGGTAGCATCCGATACCCGCCGGCCTCCGGGTAGCGGACTAGAGCGACCTTTTGGTCCGACAAGGGCGCCTCGTACTGTCCGACCCAGATCTGTTTGCCATCGGCGTCCTCCAAATGCCACGGCAAAGCTTCTTCGTATCTGATCCCTGCCTCCTTCTTCTGCTTCTCTGTTCGTGGCTGATAGTGAATCTGTGTCCCGGTCTTTTTTTCGTCCTTGTTTTTTTGCTGTTGCCGTTTCCGTTCGGCATCTTTCATAACAGGCGCTTTTTGGGCATCATCTAAAGCGCGCTGTGCGTCTCGCTGTGCTTTGAGCTGGGCCTGCCGTTCGGCTTCTTCAGAATTAGGTGGGGGTTGTTCGACAGGCTCCTCCTTCTCTTTGTGACCCGGAGGTGGTTGTCTCGGATCACGACGTTGCAGGGTCACAGGACGGGGGAATCGTTCTTGGTCGGTAGGGTCTATATTGGCGTGCTTGACCCCGCGGTTCTGGGGGACAATACGCATAACATGGAAGCGAAGGCCTTCTTTCAAGGCCTTCTTAGTAACAAACAGAGGAAATTCCTGTCCTCCCTCCGGCAAAGGATCGGCCCATCCGCCATTCTTAGTTCGCTGGGCGTCGAAGCGCGGGGGGGGCTTGTCAAACGGGGCAAGCTTTTTGACATTTCCAGCTATTTGAGACGTTCCGAGATTTTTAGGTATTATGCCACCTTTAGGGGGGATGGGTCGAGGCACCGGCCTTTTCCGAGCCACCATGGGGTTGCCAGCCGGGCGCGGGCGCCGGAAAGGAGGTGCTCCAGGGGGAGGAGTAGGCTTCTGGCCGTTGGGGCCGCCTGATGGAGACGCACTCATGATGTTCGACAAAGTTGCGCAGTCGGTACCTCAAGCGGGCGCGCGTGATGCTGACTCGAGAGGGCAACTTGCCACCGGTTTGGGGTTCTATAAAGCGCACACGGGCATTAGACGAGTCGATTACAGAGTATTGCTAAACGAGTAGTGAAGTCGGGAAATCAAGGTATTAGGTTTCGTCGGTTTCGTTGTCGTCGTTGTGGTCACCGCCGTCGCGTTCTTGCTGATCGAGCCTGGTGAAGATGGAAGTAGATAAGGAAACAGAGCAAATCAGTCAAGCCCGATGCGGCATGCAAGATTAAATTTGCGTTGCCAGGCGTTTTACGCGTAAATGAATACTACCGGGGTGCCGCTTATGGAAGACTTGGGAATGGAAGGTTGGGGGGGACAGGTAGGGTGAGGGTCGAGTGGAGGAATCAATGGTTGAATGAAGGGATGGAAGGGCGATGCGGCGCTTGTTGACGGATACCTACTGCGTGCGTAGGTAGCAATCAATGGATGACAAAGACAAAGACAGGCAACGCAGCGTACCCATCCGAATCTAATACTGTGTACCTACCTACAAAGGTTGAGGCTGTACCAGAAGGGGAGGGGAAGGGTGCTAGAGTGGGTACCGAGGTACCTACAGTACAGAATATCGGCACTGTAAATCGGCAGGTTCCCCCATCATTGATGCTAAGTACAGATTAGTGTGCGTCTAGATTGGTCCCCTCAGAGTGTTGGTCTACAACCTATGTATTAGGCTATAGATCTATACTCAAAGGTGGATTGTAAAATGTAAAAGTACAAGTCGATCCCTGTTCAAGTGTAGCGTACTTATATACGCACACTATTTTTACTACTTTTTAATGTATTACTTATATATAAATACTTCTATTGTTTAAATTTATAACTACTTTTTTTTTTAAATAAGTATTTTTATTTATTTTTTAGTTCATTTAGTATTTACAATCGTTT